TTCCAGAATAAATAGGAAATTCTCCCCTCCACCCACATTAGTAAACAGCTTCCTGATCAAAACTAGGCTTCATTTTTCCCCTCTCTCAGTCAGAAGAAAGTCTTACTATGAGTTCTTGCCAAGAAGTGAATCTTGCTTTGTTTATTGCAGTTAAGTCATATCTTCCGCAAAATCAGTAATAGTTTAAGGCAATCTGGATGATTTGTACTTATCACAACTTGGAACAGAATTCTTAAGGGTCTGACAGATAGTAGAATTAAAAGCTCTGATATTCTTTTGAGGTGTTAGCAATCTTAATGATCTTGACTTTATTTTTCAAAACTGCAAACAAATAATAAAAGCACTGTCTACTGATTAGGCGGCTTTGTGATTAGATACGTGTTTCACATTGTGCCTAGAATATATGTATGAGAGCGAGGAGAGAGTTGAAGTAAGAATGGAGTAAGCCAAAAGTATGGCTGGCATATTTATTTGCATAAAATAAGAGGAATAAATTTTTACTGCTGTTTATAGAAAACATGTTCTTTGGCACAGGCTTCACAAAGACTAGCAGGAACAGAATCCCATGGAATTAAGTTTAAAGTAAGATGTGGATAGATACCTAGGAATTCCTACAGGACTGGAAGCAATTTAGAAGTTAAATGTCAAACAGGCAACTAGGCCTTCATAGTTAAAACTTAGCTTGTGAAAGGAATATGTTTAAAAAAAAACCTGCAATATTAGAATACAGTGTTAATTCTAGAGGCAGAGACTTCCTGGGGAAATCTTAATCCAAATGTACATATTGAACATGTAAAATCCTTAGACTCATTTTGTGTCCTTGGGGTTTATGTATTTATTGAAATTAAATTCCCCCCCACTTCCTCTAGGTCATTTTGCTTTTTTGGGCTCAGACCTCATCTTTCTTGTGAAATTTTTTTCTTATTTAAAGAATAATTCTTAAAATGTGTTAGTGTGTTCCGTTAGTGAGCTTTTTAAAAAATTTTTTACCTTTTTATTGAATTATAATCAGTTAACAATGTTGTGTCAATTTCTGGTGTACAACATGTGTCAGTCATATATATACAGACGTATTTTCCTAGCATTTTTAAGACCTTTTAATGATCAGCCAGATCTGTGAGCTGAGTAGCTGTTATTGTCTAATTAGCTTGGAATCTACAACTGGTCCCCACATGGGAGAGCCCATATACAACCCCAAGGAACCCAGGAAAACTAGAAAATGGAGACAAATTGAAAAGATAATTTAAAGAGAGTATATTTAGATGCTAACCTTTAAAATATGACTTTGTCTGAATATGGGATACTCTGTCAGGGAGCAATGAAAAGATCAGACTTGAGGCCGTAATGACTGAATCATGTGACTTTGGGCAAATGTCTAAACCTCTCTGAGGATTACTTTTCCTGCTTTGTAAATGGAGAAGGTCATTTCCCTTTCTCAGATTTGATGTGAAAATGAGATAAAATAATGCCCATAAAATACGTGAGGTCTGGGACACATGGCAAGCCTCATGAAACGCCATCCATTACTGGACTGGTTTTTGAGAATTTGGGGTAACTGTCACTTCTTTGGTTGACAACTAGATCTAGAGACTAGTGGGATTTCTTCAGCATTGTGGGAAGATTTGCCATGGGCACTAGCAATAAAATAGTGTCTTAGTTTTAAAATTTTTTGATTGTGCAGGTTTTTAAACAAAGCCATTAACATTTTTCACAAGCATTTTTCCCCCTTTTCCTTCCTGCTTTTATATGTATATATTTCAGTAACAGTTCATTTAGATGTCAGTGTGGTTTGTCAGAAACAGCTGCTCACAGGACCATAGCATCCTTTCTGAGGATTAGAGGTACTCATTAGGCTTCCCTTCCATAAGTGATGGTGACAGGGTCCTCTACCTTAGTCATCCAAACCAGGTTGCTTCCTTGCACCAAGAAGGCCAACCTGAAGTGGATACAATTGAAAATCCTGGGATTCACTTGTTTACAAAATCTTGGTTTTGTATTTCCGTTGATAACAATACATCCATTCATGGTGCATGAAATAGAAGATGCCAAGTTGATCTTCTCTTTAGAATATGTTGAAAAATCAAATTTGCTTTTGTTGGTTCATAGGTCCACTAGTTTTTTCCCTTAGTCTCCCAGAAATATTCAACAATTTCAGAGCAGTAAGTCTTCACTAAGAAGAAGCAAGGCTTGAAATAAAAAACGGGTATATGATAAGAAACATCTCAAAAAATGTTGACTTGCCTCCATTTCCCTGAGGTCATCAATTTGGAAGTCCTGGAGTTGGGAAGAAAATACAGAGAGGACAAAAATTGTAGTAGGTGTAAAGTGTATCGGTCATATTATTTTAAAAATGCATCTTTAAACAAAACCAGCCTTCTGATACAGTATTCTCTGTAGGACAAACAGCAGCTGCTCTGGTACCTCGTTGGGCAGCACTGGGCTGTTCCACTGGTTGGAATGAGCTGTCTCTCAGGGTCCAACTTCATGAGAATCTTACGATTATTTGTGTCTATTAATCTTTTAATACACCATCCGTCATCCCCTGGCCGCTGGTAGGTATACAGGGCACACACAAGGGTGTTAATAATGGAGTTAGAGTTTCTGTTTATTAGGAACGGGTAAGCACTTTATGTACATTATCTCATTTATTTCCCATCATCATCCATTTACGTTGCTGATTCATCCCAGTATTTGCTGTGATTAATAGTGGAAGAAAGTCTCACCCTCCCTGTTAATGTTCAGGAGGTTAGCCTTAACCCTGTCTCAGCGCAGTACCCAGCTAATGGGGTTGCCACTTCAGGTGTGGGGTGTCATTCGCTGCTAACTAAAGAATTACTCTGAATTGTGAAAAATCACCAAGTACTCTCAAGTTAAAGACCATCCAAGAACTGTTTGAAATGGACATTTTGAGGACTTAGCATAATAGTAGAAAGTTGACTCTATGTTGGGGACAAACTTTAACTCGTGGTAATATCTCCTGACCTTGGTTCTCTGGCTGTGTGACTTACACTCTGCAGTCCCTATCAAGCTGCTTCTCCTCTCCCTGTGCCTCAGTGTCTCCATCTGTAAAATGAGATCACACTATTACTCAGTATTACTAGGGAGTTAATACGTGTGAAGTATTGAACGCGCAGCCCCGTGCACAGTCAGCACTTGGGAAATGTTAAATATGGGTGAAAACCAGGAAAGAGGAATTCCCACTCCCAAAGGTCAGCATTTGAATTCTTCCTGCTTTTCCGGACTCTGAATTTCTAATTAACCACTTCTCTATCCCTCCTTGTATAGCTGAGGCTTCGGGACACCTCATCTGTGATACCAGCTCACTCGACTCTCTAGTAAGACCTACTGGCTCATGATAATTTGGGATTCAACTCCCACTCTCTCTGAGTCTCAGATTTTCTCATCTGTTAAAAATAGTAGTGCCTGCCTCAGAGGGCTACAGAGTATATCAAAAGAGCTAATACCTAGAGAGTTCTTATCATAGGATTTGGCACATATTAAGCCTGCCATAAATATCATGAGGACCACCCATGATCTTGTTATTTCTTTGGATAGAAAAGCATTCCGTGCCATTCCTACATGTCTCTCAAGGAAAAAACTTTAATCCTAAGAAAACAACCCATTAAAGTTTATTTTTGAAAAGAATGGGGTAAAGAGGCCTCTGTATGTGTTTTCACTATTCCAGACATTTCTACAAGTGATTGGTGTGGTGAGTGTGGCGGTGGCGGTGATTCCTTGGATTGCGATACCCCTGGTTCCCCTTGGCATCATTTTCTTTGTTCTTCGGCGATATTTCTTAGCGACATCAAGAGATGTCAAACGCCTGGAATCCACAAGTGAGTACCAAGGCTCTCAGGCTGGCTTCCGTCTACGCTGCAATTAACCAGACCCTGAAATTATGCAGACTCTGTCTTCCAAATTTCTAAGTTAACATTAGGTCAGTGGGTACTGACTTATGGCCACCATGAGTCAGCATGGTCCTTAGGCAAATGGAGCTGGTGGCGGGTCAGCTGCAGCTTTGTCTGTTGGCACACGGAGGATACGTGGGAGCACCATGAGGACAGGGACCGTTTCTGTCTTGTTCGTAACATACTTCCTAACAGAACAACCAGTCAGTAAACATTTTTCTAAAAAATAAAATACTTCATCATGTTGGAATTAAGGTGAAAGGAAAAAGGGGATTTTTCTTCCCCTGAAGTTACTAGAAATGACAAGGAAAGAAAAAGATTATGAAAAGGAAAGGAGATTTCAGGAAATATATTTATATGTCAGAAGTAATGCATTTGAAAAATAGATTGACATACTCAAAAGATGGAGAAAAAGTTGCAGTTGTTAAGTGTCTTGAAAAGATAAGTTCTGTTGTTTTCAATTTGCTTTTTATCATCACCTCTATCTGGTATAAAACCACACTGTTTGTGGTCCTCCCTCCCCAAGGCTATTCATATAAATGGATGCTGAAAAAAAAATCCCCTTTGGAGGACACGGTGGGGGGGGGTCTGTTCAGTACCCTGTTAATCTATTACTCCATTCAACTTCCTAGTTTAAGAATAATGAACATGTTTTATGAATAATCATTCTAGTCTACATGTAATCTGAGAGGATAAAATAATTTAGAGCTTATTGCATTATTAATGTGCATATTTCATTGTTATTAAATCATAAGGAAAGTAGAAGTGTTATTTATTTATTCACTTTTTTGAAAAAGCTACAAGGGAAGTAGGCAAACACTATAGAAGGAATGTGGTTGTATCAGAAACCTTCAGCATGGATAGTTACTGCAAATTAATACCAACCTAACTTTCTTGAAGCCAAGCCAAGAAGAGATGCATATTGAGTCCCGTGGTTCTCCATGTCTACTAAGTGGAAAAAATCTTAATTCATGAACATAAAGGAGTTTTTTGTTGTGGTTTTTGCATGTTTTCGTTTTTATATGTGTGCGGTTTTGTTTTTGTTTTTAAATAATAAACTCTTGAGAGGGGGATGGATAAATTAGGTTTGGGATTAACAGGAACACATTACCATATATAAAACAGATAAACCACAAGGACCTACTGTAGTACAGGGAACTATATTCAACTTCTTGTAATAACTTATAATGGAAAGGAATCTGGGAAAAAAATATGTATCTATACATATAGTTGATTTGCTTTGCTGTACACCTGAAACTAACTATACTTCAGTAAAAATCAAGATAAAAGAAAAAAGAATTTCATTATCTAGATCTATGTCCGATTTGAATTTGGTCAAAGCTGGGTTCAAAGATAAACTTACCAGGTCAGTAAAGTGAAGTTCAGTAAGAACAGGATTTTGAAAGTTGGCAAGGAGAATCATTCCTTCCCCAGCGAGCCCTCCAGGAAGACCTTGTTGTGCTGTTTGTTGTATCTTGCGACCTCAGAGGCTGCTGGTTTCCTTGCATACAGCTTCCTGACTTTCTCTGTCTGTCTCTGCTTCCCCAGCACGGAGCCCGGTCTTTTCCCACTTGTCATCTTCTCTACAAGGACTCTGGACCATTCGCGCATACAAAGCCGAACAGAGGTTTCAGGAACTGTTCGACGCACACCAGGATTTGCATTCAGGTCTGTAAGTTTCTGGAAATGATTTCAAAGGGTGTGTCACCTTCTGAGGTTTGACCGCCCTCTCAGGTGGCCTTGCTGGCCAGCACCTCTCTCTATGCTGTCCCACATCCACCTCTGCACTCCTTTCTTCCCCACCTCTTCCTCCCCGCATCCCCTGTGTGCCCCCCACGTCCCTTTCACACCCCCTGCTTTTCTCCCGTGACTGGCTTGCGTTGTGTTTCCATCACAGTGCCTCGTGGCTTTCTGTCCCTTTAGGGCAGAGGTCAGCAGCAAACTTCCCCACCCCTCCACCCCACTGCAAAGAGCCAGATACTAAATATTTCAGGCTTTGTGTGCCATACTGTCTGTGTTGTAACTACTGAACTTTTCTGTTGTAGCACCAAAGCAGGCAAAGATAATACATCAGCCAGTGTCCGTGGCTGTGTTCCAATAAAGCTTTATTTATAAAAGCAGGTAGTGCTATTCTTGCCAGACAGGCTATTATTTGCTGATCCTCTTTTCAGAGCCTACAGGGTGACTGACAAAAGTGATTGAGGAAGAGGATTTTCTGATTATCAGATTTGCCACCCACTTGATGTGTATTCTTTGTAACAGTGAAGTTTTTCTCTAGGTAGAAAATTTAGAATTTCCCATAAGTCTTTAAAATTCTGGTCCACATTTCCAGTCTTTATTGTATTTTGAAGATGAAATTGGCATTTTGAAAGCCACATGCAGATCTTGTTAGCTGATGGTCATTCAGATGGTGGCTCCTATGAAGAAGCACTGGGCAGGGCCTTGTAGGAGGTGCAGAAGGTGCTGGAGACAGAGTGTTAACTGCACCCTCTGCTGTGTGAGCACTCGAAACAGTCGACTGTGTGTGAGGATGACTCCCATGTGGAGGACCAGCTGTGCAAGAAATGCACCAATGAGACCATTTTCCCACATTCTTCTTTGTTTCCGTATTTCTCTTTATGACCTTTGTGGGTGGAAGTTGTCAATGCGTGCTTCCCCCATGGCCCCCGGGCTGATTCCTTCGTGTAGCATGTGGTGTTCTGTGTCATAACCTAGCTTTCCGAAATCCTCAGGCTCCCTGGGTTTGTAACTTTGTTGCCCTACCTTGTGTAAAAAATCTCTTGCAGCTCAACTGAACAAAATGCCTTCCCTCAATCAAAGCATCTAACCTTTTTTTTCCTCCTTATTCGTTATGCTTATTTCGGGGCACAAATCCAGAGGCTTGGTTCTTGTTTTTGACCACGTCCCGGTGGTTCGCTGTGCGACTGGATGCCATCTGTGCCCTCTTTGTCATCGTCGTTGCCTTTGGGTCCCTGATCCTGGCAAACAGTAAGTATAAATGTGAATTAGTTGCAGGATTACAGTTTATAGCTGCATTTATCCTGATTAAACTCTGTCATATACTGTTTCGTTCTAATGAATTGTATTAAAGCATTTTCAGCGTGTGTTTCCATAGGGTGACCCACGTAGAAGAGCTATTTGGCTCTTGATGAGAGCTTTTATCCTTTTATCTTTCTTTGAGTGGGTTGAGGGCTACCCAGCTATAGCAAGCTGTCCCTCTGAACACTCCAGGTAGTGTTTGGCAGTTGGGAGCAGAGAACCAAGTTTCGCATTAAGCTTGTTGCCCAGTGTTGTGCTTTAAGTTTATAGCTTTAGGGCTACTTGGATTCCCTTGGTTGTAGGTGCCTGGTGCACTGGGGTGAGGAAGATTCTCTGTAAGGAAGAACACTGTCCTCACCGCTGAGTGATTACCAGGTGATCAGGTGTTGGCACACATAGCTTGAAATCACCATCCCCATATATTCCATAGTAACAACACTGAATCATGATCTTTAATAGTGGAACCATAAGAGTAGTATTTTTGCTTTAAAAGTACAGGCTCTTAGAACCCATTGCCTTGTTTTTTGTGGTTTTCACTGTGGCTGCAGTGGACGCAGAACATGAAATTACATAAGGGTATTTGAAACCATAGTGACGAAAATCTGAATAATGACATGATTCCTCACTTGTGTAATAATGTCGGGGATTAGTAAACTTATTTAAGAGATTTCTGAATTTCTAGTGCTCTTTTTCCTTTTTCTTTTTCCCCTCTTTGTATCATCTCCTCTTTCAGTAGAGTGGTTATATGCAAGTGATTTAAACATTGTAAATTGGTCTTCTTGGTAAATTGCGCTGGGCTCGGGGTTAAGAATGGGACTGACTTTATTCCCTTGTTCCTTCCTCATTTAGCTTTGGATGCCGGGCGGGTTGGCCTGGCACTGTCCTACGCCCTCACGCTCATGGGGATGTTCCAGTGGTGCGTCCGGCAAAGCGCCGAAGTTGAGAATATGGTGACGTTTATCTTAACATTTTTAGCCTTCTCAACTCTCCTTGCCATTAAATGGCATAAAGGCAATTTTTTTGTAAAATCCCAAAACTAATTTTTACATCATAGCTAACAGAATTTGTTAGATCCTTCCTCCATCTGTTTAAAGTTAATGTAAAGTAAAATACACACATCTTTTTCTCAGTCTCATGTATGCCATGTCAGCAGGTTTTATATTCATCACAGGCTGTCTTCAGATGTAGTAAGTGTCTCTGTAGGAGGGGGTTTCTGAAATCCTGGAGAGGATATAAACTGATTTTTTTTTAGAGCCTTGGTTATTTTAGTTTCCTAGTAGGTAATGACTCATTTTTGGTAAAAGAAGAATTTGATATTTTGGGGTTGTGTATTTGTTTAAGTATTCCCGCTCCCCCATTTCAGCTTTTATTCTTGTATGAGTTGAACACCTGAGTTTGCTAGTGTCCCTCCATTCTGATTGGATTAGCCCCTTCTCAGAGTGAGCTGTCAAAGGTGTCACATTATGGTTGTTTAGGAAGCCTTAGACAATATGTAAATTATCTCCGTTTTTGAGTATTTGCAACTTCTAAAGGGAGAAAAATGAAATGAACTGTTTCCATTTCTCTGTAACAGAGCAAGAAGTAACTAATTATTAAATGAGGTTTAATAACCATCCAGTTCTAGTCTCCCATGACAGGTAACCCTTCTGTGGCAAAACACTACTGGTTGGGGTCCAAAAGTAGGCTTTCCTTTGACAAAGTTCACTTGTCTTTTAATATAGGTATGAAAAGTGGATCAATGAAACCTTAGTGTTCGTTCCTCTAGTTCTTCTAGTTTGAATATATTTAAGGAGGTAGCCATGATAAAAGAGTCAAGATAACGAACAAGTTAACAAATCATCAGTGCCCTTGTAAAAGCACTACCTCTGTCCTTTGGAGATGCTAAGACCTGAGATATTCCTAACCATATAATAGCAGGTATAAAGGTATGAACAAGAAGATCTCATTTACAGTCTCTGAACATCCAGAAACAAAAATCTCTGTTCCTAACCCATGTGATGTCATATGTGTTTCAGATGATTTCAGTGGAAAGGGTGATTGAATATACAGACCTTGAGAAGGAAGCGCCCTGGGAAAACCAGAAACGCCCGCCACCGTCCTGGCCCCAGGAAGGGGCGATTGTCTTTGACAATGTTAACTTCTCGTACAGCTTGGACGGCCCCCTGGTACTGAAGCATCTGACAGCGCTCATTAAATCTAGAGAAAAGGTTTGTTTCCGCCATTTGCCTATTTAAAAGTCCAGCTATAGATTTAGCACTGCATCTGTTGTTGGCTTGTCAGTGTGTCAGGGAGACTCTTTGTCCCTCATGGATCCAGATTAGATCAGCGACCCTGCAGGTGAATCTTTCTTGGAAACTGACCATGGAATGGTCATTTCTTTCCCTGTGTTGTGCCCTGCCTCATGGTGGTTGATGGGCCCTGGGTCTCCGGGTTGAAACTTAACCTGACCCAGGATACTATATTTTTACACCTGATTATTTATTTGAAGTCTTGGAAGTCAACCCTGGCTGCCTGTTGCTAACTTGCCAGTATCTCGTTCCTTTCCATCCTTTCTTTTTGGATTTCTTAAATCTTCTCTTCCTCCCTTGGTTCCCTTCGGTTGCAACCTTCCTCCTCTGTCCTTTTGCCCTTTTCCTCGAGTTGTCTTGACTAACACACACTCTGCTGTCTTCCCCCGCTTTCCCTCCCTTAGCCTACTTCTTGCTGAAGTGCAGATCTGATCTGTACTGGCCTGGGAGAGGTGCTGCTGGACCATAGCTCAGCCTCAAGTCCACTCCAGCCGGGGCTGCGTGGCCAGCTTGTAGCCACCTGGGAACAGCCCAGAGTCTATACCCAGCCATGGGCGAGGAACCAGGTCCCCCAGCTGGAGGCAGGGCTCAGAGAGCAGAAGGGTTTTGAAGAAGAGGCTAAACCAGAACAGACAAGGCAGTAGGAAGCCCTTCCCTACCTACCTCTCCAGCGAGAGTCCTGGAGTTTGTGTGACCCCTGCACCCGCGTCGTGTGTAGATTCACCCAGAGCACTGTGTCCTTGCTGTTCTAAACTTGTGCCCCCTGCCCCTCTACCCCAGAGTCCTTTCCCTTCTGTCACCTGACTGGTGAATACCTCCTCATTTTCAGAGTCAATGCTAATGCATCTGTTTCTGTGATACCCTCAATTGTAACTCAGCCCTTACATAATCTTTTAAGATAGGGTACATGGAACACCTGTGTTCATAGCGGCCAAAAGTTGGAAGCAACGAACTTGTTTATGATGAAAATGACCGATGAATGGGTAAACAAAATGTGGTGTATCCTTACAGCGAAATATTATTCAGCCTTAAAAAGAAAGGAAATTCCGACCTATAGATAAACAATATGAAATGAAATAAGTTACACACAAAAGGAACCAACAATGTATGATTCCACTTGTATGAGATCCTTAGAGTAGTCAAATTCATAAAGGAAGAAAGTAGAATGGTTGCCAGGGACTGGCCGAGGGGTGATGGGGAGTTGTTGTTAAATGGCTGCAGAGATTCTGTTTGACAAGGCAAAAAATATTTTGGCAGGACAACAATATGTATGTGCTTAACAATAAACTGTGAATTTTATGTTACATGTATTTTACCACAGTTGAAGTAAAAGATGGCAGCTGTGGCATGCTTTGTCATTTTAGTCTGTATCTCACAGTGCCCTGCGTCTTCTTAAGGTCTTATTTTTACCTTTGATACCCAAATCGTGGAATTCTGCAGGGCATAGAGGGGATGCTAAGGGTGCTGGCTGGGAGGGTGCGTAATACACGATAGGAGCAGTCGGTAACCGAAACATACACACAAGAAAACTTCATAAACAACCTATTACCCAGACTTGTTAAATACTTGAGGAACTGCTCTTTACAAACTCACTCCACCGCAGACCCATCTAGTGGACTGTAGCCATCATTTAATGAATGATACCCTTGTGACATGAAAATGCGCAAGTGATACCCAGGAAGCAGCTTCAGTTAGTCACATGGCAAAAGCTCTCTCCTGATTGTTTCCAGATTCATTGCAGGTCTGGAAGTAGGTAAGGACTCCTGACTTGGGAAAACATTAACAGCAGTTCTTGATGAAATCCTGTCCCTGAGAGCACTGTAAGTGATGTGTGTTACCTAGCAGTCAATACATCCATCAGATTTCCTGTTGTAAACCTGATTTCATTAATTTGCACTCATCTTCAATTTGCCCCAAAGCCATAAAGCGCAAATTATCTAAGAAACTCAGTAGTACAACTTAGGAACATAGCAGATTTGTATTCTTCCATCTTAAAACCCCCAAATTGTAGGATCGTCTGAGATTCCAACATGGTCGGGGCACGTTGAATTTGGAACCTGCGTCAATGACTGCAGTGACTGAACTTCTGATTTGTGTCTTGGTCCACACACAGCATCACCATTCGCTTCATTTCTGTGTTTGGAGGTTGTCCCCGGGCAGCGGCGCCGCGAGGTGACGTCACTGCCCACGTACATCCCCGATTTCCTCTCCTGCCCTCATGTTCCCGTCCCTGTTACCCCGGGACGTGCCTTTGGGGTTGGACTTGGCTGAGAGCAGCTGCTGTGGGGGAGGTTGGAGGAGTGTGCCGGCCCAGCGGACGTGGGCTTTATTCTCTTTCCCTCATGTCCTCTGCTGTCCTGATTCCTGGAAGTCAGAGTCAACAGCGAAGTGTAATAGGTACTACTCAGGTTTCTAATGTACGGGAGAAATAGCAAGTAAAAATAAAGACCCAAAATGAGGTGAATAGTGTGCTAGGCTTTCTGGTGAGATTCTGAACATTGGCTGCATTTTTTCATTTAGATGATTTTGTGGTTGATTGGATCATTTTAGAGAGTACTGGGCCATTTTAAAGCATTTTCCTGCTCTCGAGGTAGATTGATTTTGGTTTGTTATTTTTTTTCCCCCTTACTCAGAGCTATTACTTGGATAATAGATTTTTACAGATGCTTGCTGGACCTTGCCATGATGTGTAAAATTGTTCATTTCCTACACTTTCTCCTTTTTTTTTTAACCTAGTATTTTGTCAGAAGCCCCTCCCCTCACTCCCAGATTGTCCCACCTCCCCTGCCGGCCTCCTCATTCCTTGTGACTCAGAATGTGCTGTCAGGGCCAGCAGTTCCTGCACCACCTGGGAGCTTCTTAGAAAATGCAGACTCTCAGGTTCACGCAGACCTCTGGGCTCAGTCGCATTTGAACCTGACCTCCCCAGTGAAGGCCTTTCTCTCTGGTGGGCGATTTTCAATGACTGGTAACCTGTGATTTCCAGGAAACGTCCCTTGACAGTTTGGAATTGAGCTCCTGAATCACCCAAAACCCTCTGTGACTGAGCATGAGGCTCTGGAAAGTTCTGTGCCACTTACCCTACAGATTTTTTTATGTTTGTATTCTGCAAAGTGTGCCTTTACATTATAATCTAATTCTGTGTGATTCCAATGCATTTGTTTGCATCTTTTCAGTGCAGCCTGCCTTCATCACAGGCAGCTTTCACCCTGCTCGCTGGCCTTCCCCATGCCAGCCTCCTGTGGGGCTAGAGCTGTTCCAGCCCGGGCTCAGCCCTGGCTGGGCTCGGGGTCCGAGGCAGCCGAGCATAGCGGTGTGTGTGAGGCTCTCTCACCACCTGGTGGGATCAGAAATTGAGTCTTGCTGCCCCAAGCAGGGCAGAAGGTCCTTGTGGCCTATTTCCCAGGTACCATGTGCCCCACTTAGCCGCAGGTTTCTCTCCCAGCCCAGCTGTGGGTGCCAGTTCTTTCTATTGACAGCCCACCTGACCTCAGGTATCTGGTACCCTCTTTGCTCAGAGTCGTTAGCCCTCTGGTTCCACCACCATGTTGTTACTCGCCCGTATCTATGTCATGCAATAGGATCTATATGGCAGGCCTGTTCCTCTGACTGCAACTACACCTTTTCTCGCTATCTCTCTTCTAGCTAGACAGAAGAACATAGTAAAGTTTGAAGCCATCAGCAGAATGTAAAAGTGGCCAACAGACCAATGGATTTGAGTCCCATTCTGTGACTTATGGGCTCTGTTTTTTCAGGCAGACTAATTAATCTTAGAAGCTCGATCTTCTCTTCTGCAAAATGGAAGTGGTAGGACCTAACCTCGAGGGTTGTTGTACGACTAAAGACATGTAAAGCACCCAGTATGGAGACCAGCACAAGTAAATAAATGCTTGGACACAGATAGCTGTCATTTTCATAGGTCGTAAAATGACCATAACGACTTACACTGTGAAAATAGTTGTCTGACCCATGAAAATGAGGAGTGGGCCATTTGTAATCATATTTATGGCTCTAGGAGCCCTCTGCTGTGTCTCTCCATCCAGCTAATCCTATACCTAAACAATGTGGTAATAGAATTCCTGTAAATTTCTCCTGCCTGAGTTAAAAGCCTTAGCTCTCTCCAGAATACTTCTTTGCAAAGGACACCACAGGTAATACGAATAATACAAACTTGAATCCATCACAGATCCTGTTACCAGCACATACAGTCCAGTTGAAAAAATTCAAAAAGGATATACTAGCTTCAAAAGGCAGAAGACTGTCAAAATTTTTATAGAAGTTTAGAAAAAGATGACATAACATCCTTTTGGGTTGGGTGACGTCCATATGAAGGCTTAGGTAGAGCAATTCTGAGGAATTAGGCATGTGAAACTGTGATGTGTTGTCAGGATTTCAGCGGGTGGAAATTCATCTAAAAGAAATTCTGGAAGGTGGGACCTGCATAAGCAAAAGCGAGATGCCCCGATTCAGTGAATGAAGAACTGAGCACCTGCAGAGCATTCAGGGAAAAGGACCACCAAGTGTATAGCACATATTTTCATATTCAACCCTCACAACTACGTGGTAATCCCTAGGAAGCTGACTGGTGGAGATGAAGAATGAAGTTAGTGGGGACAGTTTTGTGGAAGCGACTTCCTGGGTGTCAAGTGATAGGCATAGAGCCTTTTTGCGAGTTTAATCTGAGAAGTGGGAAGACGCAGGGAACAGGGAGCCAGTATCCCTTGTGCAGCCCAGCAGGGCGTCGTGGGAAAGTGATTCCACTTTTTGGAATTGGACTGATGTCAATTAAAACAAAGTGATAACACCCAGGTTTGTGAATGTGGAGGGAAATGGGTGAGAATAGGAAATGCTATCATATTTCTGGGGGGGTAGGTTGGCAGTACTTAACAGCCTCCTTTGAAAATGTTCGCACCTGTTTCTCAGCAATTCTGCATTGGATAATTTATCTCAAGGAAATCATTAAGATTGTTTGCAAAGATTCAGCTTCAGGGATATTTATCACAGAGTTATTTATAATAGCAAAGTATTCAAAACCGACTAAATACCCACAGGGGGTTTGTTACATAAGTGATCACACATTCTGTAATATGTACCCATTAAAGTAAATATTTTTAGGGAATCCTGAGAACAGATTACCACAACACGTTCATATTAATCACAGTTTATTTTATGAATATGAGCTTATATCTGTAAGAACGCACAGACACACAAAGCTTGAAAGAAAATACATCAACATCTTAAGAATGGTTTTATCATAGTGCTGGGGTGATGGCTAGTATTTATTTACTTTTCAAATTCATGTGCACCAATTATTAAGGAAAAGGTTTCTAGTTTGAAAGGTAATGCAGCCTTGAACTCAGGTGATGATTCTGGTCCTTAAAGTCTGAGTCATGGAAGTTCAGTCTTTGACTTGGCACGCTGGACTCAGGGAGACCTGGAAATAAGCTGGACAGTTGACCCCTGTGCCTGGGAGAGAAGTAATGAGATTGAACTGGGAAAGTCAGAAGAAGCGGCTGTCTTGTGTGGGGCGTTCAGTGCTAATCATGTTATGTTTGACACGTGAAGAGAGCTAGGAGCAAATGTCTAACAAGTTGGTGTGGTCTTCAGAGACCAGCCCTGGCCTGACTGGATAAACAGAAAGTCTCAAAGCAGGTAAAAGAAGACTGTCTTCAAGTGTCTTTGTGTCAGGAGTGTAAACTTAGTGATACTAGGGTACTCTCCACTTGCAATTGGTAAAACCCATTGGTGACTGGGAAAGATTCCCAGACAGTAATTTTGATGACCGAAGAGTAGATATAGTCACAGCTGGGCTTTCTTTCCCTTCCTTCCTTCCTTCCTTCCTTCCTTCCTTCCTTCCTTCCTTCCTTCCTTCCCTCCCTCACTCCCTCCTTCCTACTTTAAATTTTTTAACTTTAATTTTTTTTAAATTTAAGTACAGCCACTTACAATGCATCAATCTCTGGTGTACAGCACAGTGTCCCAGTCATACATATACATACACAGCTGAGTTTTCTGAGTTGCCTTCTCCTTAAACTCCTCACCGGAGTTTGGAGTTCCCAGTCTTGTGGTCGTGAGCAGCCTGCCTTCCGTCTGCATATCATGGCCCATTTACCCCAAGTCTACAAGTGTTCCAGTTTGCACACATGGATCAGTTCCAGGAGAGCTAATAGCATGGGAACATACGTTTTCACAGACAAAGTTCTCACAAATCCGCAATATCTTCAAGGTTTGTCTGTATACAGAACACATGAGATATATATTTGTATATTTATGTGTACATATGTGTGTGTGTGTGTGTATAATATGTCCTGGGACCTTCCTGTGCATGCAGAGAATGGCCCATCTATACTGTATATATTATGATTTACCATAAGGTACAAATGGCTACAAGATAAATGCACTAAAGCCACTTTTATTACATTTAATATGTATAAAGATAATTTTTTTTGAAATGCCTTTATTGATTTCACACACCAAGCTTTGAATCTTTGGAGGTATTCAAGTGAGAAAATGTGTGTAGTTTTCAGTGTATAATCAGTGCCCAGAAAGGTTTAGTTCTTTTCTTTTTAAAGCCATGAGTTTTTAAATTTTACTGAATTAATTTGCAAAGATTGAAAGCATATCTTAAGTCATCTCTTGGGAAACTCCCACTAGGGAATCTGCGGTTGGCCAACCTCATTGGTTAAAAAAACAAAAGCCAGTTTCAGGATACTTGTTTGAATGCATACAGCTAAAAGCAAGTTTTTACATTACAGTTTCATTTCTGACCAGCATTTTACCTGCATTATATTGATTCTTTGATCTTATTGTTAATGCACTTAATTTCCCTCTGCTTTGGTTTTAATAACTAGACTGATACTTAGTATGTATCATTCCAAGGGGCAGTTTTTAGGTATTAATTGGTTTGTAAAACGCCGTTTGAACTGCTGAGATGAAAGGTCCCAGGTAAATACCAAGTGTTGTTTGTGGTGCTGGTGTTGTTGATCTCATTATGTGTGTTTTGTGTACTTGCTACTGTCTTTTAAGACGCCGAGTCCTGTGTTTTGCAACTGGAAGTCATTTTCTGTCAAGACAGAGCATATTTAAGATGCCTACTATCAGGAAATGATTTAGTTTCTCTACCAGAGCATAATAATTCCTCTTAAATGATAGAACGCTGCCAAGCTGAATACTTGTTTGTATATAACACTTCTGACTAGACTTGTTGACATCTCTGTGAAATGACCCACCTAATTCTCAAGGTCAAAATACCCAGACAGCAGGAATAAAGCTAATTTAAAAGCTGACTTCTTACGAGCCCCTTAGGAGACTGCTGGCTTTTTACTACTAGTAGATTGATTCTGTTATTTGTAACTCTTCTTTGGACCAGAGGATCTCAACCAGAGGACATTTGTCAAGGTCTGACATTTCTAGTTGCCACATGTGGGGTTTTTTCCTGGAATCTAGTGGGTAGAGTCCACATATACGGCTATACAACCTACAGTACATGGGAGAGCGTGTCCCCAACAATGAATTATCTGGCCCCAAATGTCAACCGCCACACGGTTGAGAAGCTTTTAGACTACACCCTGTATAAAACCTCCAAAATGCATATTCAACAACAGGGGTTCTCCATGGTTTGTTGCCCATTGTTAATTCTTAATCCCTCCTGGATCTGGTTACAGGTCGGCATTGTGGGAAGAACAGGAGCTGGAAAAAGTTCCCTCATCTCTGCCCTTTTTAGATTGTCAGAACCTGAAGGTAAAATTTGGATTGATAAGATCTTGACAACTGAAATTGGACTTCACGATTTAAGGAAGAAGATGTCAATCATACCTCAGGTATGCATTTCATGGCATTCTCTTGTGTTCTAAAGCAACTAACTTTAATTGCTTTTAATTTGTTTTTTTTAATTGAATGAAAGTGTTGATCTTTTCCCCTCCCTAGTAGAGAATATTTTTAACAGCAGGTATTTTCAACACACACTTTCATCAGATCCTAGGTTTTGTTTGTCTTTTCATTTATTTGTCTTACATGCATGTGACTTAATAGCTTACCCAGATTTCTAGACTGAACCTTCCCCAGGTGCCACAGTTTTAGCCACTGATAACCAGATAATTCTGAGAACAAAATGATAGTTTGTTTCTCAATGGAAAAACAATGGAGAGGTTTCTACAGAGAAACATGGATTTTGTCTTGATGGAATTCTGCTGGTAGGAAATAAAGATAACCTTTTCAAAGGTTATTATTAACATGGAGGACTTTCTGTTAAACTAGGGGGCTATGAGACTTAACAGGGTGTATCGATGCTTTTGGGAGACTTTCAGGATTCAGCCAGGAGTAGATGATTTTAACCAGGGAGGCAGTACAGGTTAGTGAGGAGGGACACGGGGCATGGAAGTCCACCTCTGTGCACCTCAGTATTCTGGCCCTTACAAGGCAGCTAACAGTACCAGCTCCTCCTGCTGCTGTGAGGTCTAAATAGGTTAGTGCGTGTGGAGTGCTTCACGTAGATCCGGTTCGTGGTTGCTCTGATGACAGAGCTTTGAATTGATCATCTCTTCCTGGGCTCTGATTCTGTTTTCTTCTGTTCTGCTTTTTAAAGACTTTGAGAGAGTGTTTTGGAGACTGGATTAAATGCACAGTAGAGGCTCCTGTCATTCCTTGTGGTTCATTCACCCAACATAGTTCAGTGAATATTTATTGAGCAATTACTATCCTCCAGGTATATAGCCAAGGGCAATATAGGCCCCTTTCACATTGGCCTGGGCCACACATCTTCCATTCTGCCCTCTGCTTTGACAGGTTGGATCTTTTTTGTTTGTTTTGTTTTTGTTTGTTTGTTTGTTCATTATTTGTTTAAATACTCTACCATCATGTGGCCATCAAAGGAAGCTCAGAAAAAACACCCTCTTGAGATGAGAAACACAGAGAGGAAACCAGGCAAAATGGGCCAGGAAAATGTGCTTCCTGGAGTGCGAGTGTAATGAGCTCTGAAATGCCTGTTTAACAGGAAGCATGCAGCACAAGGTACCCAAAGGGAGGAGTATGTGGACTAGTGAAGGAGTATGTGACTGGGTGCAGCTGTTGCTGCTGACCCCTGGCCTCTAAAATAACTGGAATTTAGTCTCAGTACTTTTGAAGTGAAGATGTTCCTTTTAGATCACAGTGAGATGCCATCTTACACCCTTAGTCTGTCTATTATCCAAAAATACCCCACAAGTTAAGGAATTGGTATCACTGTTCATTGCTGGTAGAAATGCAAAGTAATACAGCAACTGTGGAAAATGGGATGAGGGTTCCTCAAAAATATTAGAAGTAGAGTTATTATATGTTACAACAATTCCAATTTAGAGTATAAACCCAAAAGAATTGAAAATGGGATCTGAAAGAGATGAATGTAAAGAGAACATACCTATATATGAATGTTCATAGCAGCATTATTTGCAATAGCAAAAGGTTAGAAGCACCTAAGGGTTTTGACAGTTAAATGGAAAAACAGATGTGATATATACACAATGGAATATTATACAGCCGTTAAAAAGGAAAGTCTAACATGTGCTACAACATGGATGAACCTTGATGACGTTATGCAAAGTGAAATAAACTAGTCACAACAGACAAATAGCATATGATTCTACTTACATGAAGTACATAGTGGAGTCAATTCATGGAGAGAGCAAGTAGCATCGTGGTTGCCAGGGCTGCTAGGAGGGAAGAATAGGAAGTTGTTGTTTAATGGGTACAGAGGTTCAGTTTTGCAAGATGAAGGCAGTTCTATGGTTGGATGGTGGTGATGGCTTTACAACAGTGAATGCATTTAATACCACTGAACTATACACTTAAACATACTGCAAGTGTGAAATGTTATGTGTGTTTTACCACAATTAAAATTTTTTTATAAATATATCCATTTCAGGAAAAATGAAATTTTCAGCACATACAGTCCTTATATTTCAAGTTTCTCTCTAGCTTTTATACTGGTGACTTAGAGATTACAGTAAAAAATAATTTTAGATTCCCAAGTTTTAGATTTTGATTGTACCCTTCTCTGAAATGGGCCACATAAGATTAGTTAGCAGAAATAATTGGTGTGTCTGTAAAGTCCTTTCCTATCCTTGGAGGAATGGATTTAGAAATGTGCCCTATATTAATTTTAATGCTTCTTAATAAGAAAAAGTCATATGCTGTGTACATAAAAGAACTCCATAAATGAAGAAATAACGTTAGATGATTCTTGGCTCTGCTAGTAATGTTTTGGAAGCACATCTGAGCAAAGACTGAACATACCTTGACATCACCAGGTTTTGGTTCTGTTCCATAGGTTTCCACCCTACTTTTTAGCATGCTCTGTGTACACACTGCTTGGAGCGTGCTTACAAAACAGTGCTGAGCTTTGTATCCATGCAGATAATGATCAGCAACCATTGTCCTCCTAGAACCTATAGTTTCTCACTGTCTATGCCTTTGTCTCCAAGGAGAAAGGTTGGTTGATTAAAGAGAGAGAATCTGAAGAGTCTGAGGAGTCCCAGGAAATCATTCAGGAGGCAGCCAGGGATAGAATGCTGAAGAGCTGAGACCGCGTCAACTTGACCCACGTTTTTATTCTGTCTCTGTCTCCTCTGACTGTGGGCCTTTGATGGAGTTGCTTGGCTCCCAAGCTTCATAGTCCTCGCCCTGTAACCAGGTCTGGGAATTACTGCTGTACAGATTTGTTGTAAAGGTGCAACTGGGTGAGAAAATATTTGTAGTCCACGCCGGGCCCTTGGGATCGCTCAGTCATAGTAACGATTATTATTATTAGGGATCGGGGCGCTGGCCTTTAGGATATTATTTCTACTTAAGTAAAAAGGGTAACACATTCTGGAATGGCTTTGGTCCTTAATTTCTGTTTATGTTTTTGTGATCCTTGGTGGTTTTCTTTACATTTATGGCTTATCACATAAACCGGGTAGTTTACATAAATTTAAAGAGTGAAGCAAAAGAAAAAAAAGAAAATCAACATACTAGGAGTTTTAGGGGAAAGTTTAGGAGAGAAATTTATCTTACGGTCTTTTCTCTCAGGAACAAGAGTCGAGAATATCACTGGCTCCCTTCCCACGAGGTTCTTTCCTGACCACTGCCCTGTTCCCACTGGTACTTTCCAGTCCTCCACCACAACCCCTGACTTTTTCTCGGCCCTCCTCACGTTCACGTTCTTGACTATTTCCTTCCTCTCCTGGATGACAGGGCCTGAGTCTCTCCTTTCTGTTGCTGTAGTGCTTGTTCCAGTCCCTCACCAATTACACAAATATCAGTAGTAATCCCTAACGTTGATGGAATCCGTAGCAAGTTTTAGCCTCTTTCCCTACCATCTCCCACTTAATCCTGACAACAATTCTCCTGATATCTTTATCTGAGAGATTTAAAAACTGAAGCACTGGGAGCTTAACCAGCTTATCAAGTAAGCAGCAGAGAAGGATTCAGATTTAATTTGGAGAAAGTCTCAACTCCAGAGCCAGAGTAGCTAACCGGTCTGCTAGTGACTCAGCACGCTGCTGACTGCGGTCCCTGGTAGAACTGCTTCCTGTCATGACTTCTGTGTACACATGTACACACACACACACACACACACACACACACACACACACACACACACACAGAGTCACACACATGGGAACAAAGATTTCACAAAACAGTATTACTCGTGCTCTGTACTGTGATATTTTCTATTCTATCCATTCTACTGATTTATAGAAAGGACAAAATGATTATCATGAGCCACAAAATTGATTTCATGACCCATTGGCTGCACCTGCAGTTTGACCAGCAGCGGCCCTCATTGTCTGCCGGCTTGGCTGGGCTCCTGGTCCGTGATAGGGTCTTGCTGGGAGAATCATTGCTGTTCCAGATTCTTGCTGTAGCCTCACAAGGTTAACCCCATTTTCCAGGAAGGGAACTGAGGCTTGAGGAGATTAATAACTTGAGTCAAAGAGCTAAAAAGCAGTAGAATCAGGACTTAGGAATCTCTGACTCCAGTGTTTTATATACACACACACACATACCTGTTTTTCCTTATATGTTTGTTGGACTGAATGATGTTCTCATAAGATGTTTTCCACATTTTTTCCTACCACACTGCTTATAGTATCAATTTAGAAACGAGTCTATTCGCTTATACATCACAGACTAATAAGTGTCAGGGGAAGATACTCAATATCACCCCTTCCCCAGCCAAGAGCCCTTTCTCTCCATGATGTCAGGCTGGCTGCAGAGGTGGAGCAGGTCTACTGCCGTGGTTACTTGAAGTTGCTTGTCTAAACGTAGAAAGCTTCCATCTGTCTTCACCCAAAACAAGTAGGAAGCAGTGTTGCTTCTGTCTCAACATCCTGATTTACAGGTTTTTAGGAAGTTGAGCATAGACTCTGCAAAGGGGGAGCCTAGTGCTGTTTCTTTGAGTCGCCCCGGAGCTTAGGTGAGCTGGGCCCCCATCGTCTTCCCTGACTCCCTCTTCCCTGTGATGCTGGGCACAGCAGCGAGCTTCCAGGCTGATCTCCCTCCCAGGCTCGCCCCTGACACTCTTGACCCACCTTGAGCAGGTTAGAACTGGGGGAGATGTGATAGCAGCAAAAAATACTGTATTCTTAAGAAGGTACTCCTCAATTTGTTAGAAATTAGCAAAAAATGAAAGCACTTCCTAATTAATTTCTGTGAAAGTGAAGTGTGCACCCTTTCTGCTCAAGATCTGAAGTAGTTAAATATGTCCCCCAGAAAAAAACACTAATTGAGATTATATTCGGGGCGTAGCTTGCTTATCTTAATGGGTCTGAAAAAATAGACTTCAAAACTACTTAACTACTTTGGATGATTCTTCTACTTTGGATGATGCCTGAAGCTCCGTATCCTATTGGCACTATGAACATGCTTTCAATTGAAGAGGGATTCCATGCAAATTCAGAATTTATGATTGCAGCCCAACAGTTGGCAAACATCAACAGCCGTGATCTTCATCATGATTAAGCAGTTTCATTTTTTATATTTAATAGGCTTTTTTTTTTTTTTTAATTAAGGCAAAAGCTAGGTGTTTTTTAAACAGTCCACTCTGGGCTTTTGGTATTTCCATTCCGAGTTTTCTTCAGTAGGCTGAAGAAGCTGTCTCTTTAAGTCTCCTTCTTGATTACCTGGTTTTCTTTCCCTTTTTCTCTTGTTGAGAACAAAACTCCAAGAGAGAAGAGTTGGATATGCTGTTACTGGTAAAGAAATACAACTGGATTTTAGCCTAATGCAGTCGGCCCTTTGTTTCTGACACTGAAGTCTTCATTAAATCCCGTGGAACTGCTCCCCGGAGCTCCTGAAAGAGGACTTTACACGACTTAAATTCTTTTTCCTTTGTTGGCGAACAATGTTCTTTTCTTTTGAATATGGATGACGATCAGTTCATTCAGAGGCTACAGGGTTTTTTTAAAAAATGGAAACCAAGATTTAAAGTGATTTCAGGTGATGCTCTTACTCTTAAAATATGGAGATGAGCAGCCCCTTTAAGAAATGTCCTTAGATTGGAGACCTAAATGTACCTCTCAGGACTCCAGGAAGCAGCATCAGTAGCCACTCTTCATATACTTCATTGGAGGGCAGTTTCCTGGTTTGGGACTGAAATGATCAGGGTAAAGTGTTCTGCTTTATCTGCCTTGTTTGTAACCACTTGTTCAGTTTTTGTCTTGCTCCCGGATCATTTTAAACGTCAGAAGGTTCGTGGGTCAGGTTTCTTTGTAAGATAATGAGAGTCTTCTCTTCCAGCAGCTTATACAAAAGGTCTGATAAGACTGCAGTTTTCAGTGTGCAGTTGTGTTGAGGAATTATCAATTTACTACACTAAATGCTCTGATTCAGAGTGGCCATTTTTGGGTCACACGCCTAATATGAATTTGCGTTATGTTGGTGAGAAAGGAAAAAAATTACTACTGAATATGGCACAAAGGATTGAATTTAAAAAGTATCAATTTTAAACCATGATGAAAAACAGGTTTGAAACTAATGCTTCGTTCAAAATACTGCATTGAACAAGAGCGTTTTTTTTCCAATTGTGCTGAGCCAGCTAGCCCTTATTAAATGAGGTTTAATTGTGCACCCTCAGAAAAAATATATACTTAGGCTAATAAATTTAGTGTATATTTACACAAAGGTTGTGTGTCCTACCATAAATCTCTACACTGAAGTGTTCTGCCTGCAAACATTTTTGCAACACTTATTTATAAGATGAGTTTTATTAACTTCATTGTTTGGAGGTGGGTACTGTAAATCATAGTATCTATCAGAAATGATCGTTAATTTGACCCTTATCTGCCCTTGCAGTATGTGTCTATTATGAGTGCTTTTATTTGAAAATTGTATAATAGTTTCTTACTTGGAATGAGTAGAAACTAAAATGAACACCACGCATAAAACACATTGACTTATTAAAACAGACGTTCACAAATTGCCTGTTGGCTTTTTAAAAAAAATAGCTTCAATTAATGTTTTAATAAATCATTCTTTTCATTCAACAAGTTTTCATTAAAATTTTACTGATTTTGATATATATATTGGCGTGCCATAACAAAGAGAAACATTCTTATTTCTAAACAATTTTCTTCCATCTAATGCTGCCAAATAAACAAGCATAATTGCCAAAACGTCCTTTTAGATTGACAGTAGAAGGCAGGCGGGTATAGCTCAGTGGCAGAGTGCATGATTAGCATGGAGGAGGCCCTGGGTTCAATCCCCAGTAACTGCATTTAAAACAAACAAACAAACTTAATCCCCCTCCTAAAATAAAAGATACACGTGATTGCATGCATCTATATATAACAAAAATAGATTGACAGTGCAGACTTAAGTTTGCACCCTTATTGCAATGGGAAATGCTTAAACTTAATTAAAAAATTTTTTTTATTAGAGTCAGCAGTAATTTGGTGATAATTCATTCGCAGAACCTCCTCCAGGCCTCTGGAGTGTCTGAGGTCTGTTTAAAGCTCAGCATGAAGCTGCTGCAGGCATTGGACAGGGGCTCAGAAGGGAGGGACTCCTCCTTGTGCCGAGAATCCCATTTTTGTCCCGTAGTCTTTGGAGAGACTCATCCACTTCAAGGAGTTTCATAAAGAGAGGAAGGTTTGGGGAGTGACAACAGAGAGAGGCCCTGATTATGAAATCGGTGACGGAGCTTTAAATGGGTGTCCCTCTGCCTGTTGTCCTGAACCAGTGAAGCCACTGTTCCCAAACGTGCTGATGCTGTGAGTCCTTTCATGCTTAAGAAGGGGGGAAAGGTTTGTCTTTTAAAATTGAAGCCATTTTTTTCTTAGACTAGCTTAAAGTAACGTCTCTCTAGAGTATATTTTGAAAACCTGGTGGACACTTCAGCAAACCTCGGACTTCTTACTGATGTGAATCTGCTCTATGAGAAGGATCTGAAGGAAGAAATGTTCAGGTCGTATTAGCCCTGGTGGGCTAAACATGGTCCTGTTGTTACTATAAACAGAGACCCTGTCTCATTTCTCCCAGTGGCTTAAAACCAGTTCCAAGTTTTAACTTGGCCTCTTTTGGCCTTGAACACCAGTCCTTGGAGAGTCTCTCATTTTGGGCCTCAGAGTAAAATCCTGCCTACAGTGTAGAGCCTTGGAGGTGGGAGGCTAGAGGAGAATTAGAGGAAAGTGAAGAACGTTGAGTATGAGCGTCCCCTCATTTTTCTGTGAACCTCATGGAAGGAGCTAAAGGAGGAGAAAATGACCTAGCTTGTTGGAATCTTTGAGTTGACGATTACAAGGAGTTAGACGTTTGTTTGCAAAAACTGCAGTAGAATGATGGTTATTCCCCTGACAGTGAACTCTTATCATTACATTGATGGCTGTTTCCTCTTTGATCTAAATTTAGCAGTAGAAAAAGGTATGGGAAACTCCTTCTTGTCCTTCTTCGTGGGTGGAGAAAAGAAATGTCTGTCTTCTTCATCTTTCTTTTCCGACTTTTGTGAAGTGAGGAGGAACAAACAGTCCATCCCCAAGGCCAGGCGGGATTTGAGGCTGCTGGTCCCTCAGGCATTTCTGGGCACTTGGCGAAGAGTCAGATCTCCTCCAGGTCCCACTGCTGTGCTTCCATACTGTTTAATCCCCTTCCCTGAAAGTAGCCCGTTGGGCTCGTCTCTGCTGCCTGTGTTCTTGTGTCCTGGTTACAGAGCCTTCCAGCAGAATACGTAATGACCTGTATAAGCTTATGTACAAGACTTGCTTGAAACCCGTAAGAAGGCATATATTTTAACACAGGAATTTACTTGTGGCTCCTCTTGGAGCAGATGACTAGGAAGAGCTATTTAAATTTTAAAATAGTCTCATTTTGGAGCACGTCATGATGGGTTTCAGGGTGTCTAGCCCTGACAGTTAATCATGAGGTTCCGTGAGGTGACCTTGATGCACAGGTGAGATAACATGGGGTTGCCTGATGCAACATCAGAGGCCGTCTCTTCACGAACAGAGAAGCCATTGATCCCTGTATTTGATGTTCTCTTTGCACATATGGGTAGATTCCAGTCACACATTTTGAGAGATTCCCCATCCAGAAACTGTCTGAGCAACGGAAAAAAATATCCTAGTTTAATCATCATTGCAAATGTGCATATATTTAACAATTTTGCTGTGAGGTACAAATTTCAAATAATCATGCTGTTGGCATTTTCCAGTAGCACACCAGGATTGACAATTAATTTATATAGCTCTTCATATAATATTCCTCCAATAATTATATCTTTTTTTTTCTATCTAAGCAGATATGACCAGGAAGACTTTTTTTTTTTAAATCAAACTTTCCTTTCTTTTCTTCAGTTTCTTCTTAAGATGACACACTTCAGACTTTCTTCTGGTAGTGATCAGTGGTCTGGAGGATATTTTGAAGCATAAAATGATAACATGGAAATTTAATAGTGATACTATTTGTAAACAGGCATTTACCACCTTATTATTAATGATTGTAGTGAATTCTGTGGTTTTTTTGTGTGTTGAGTTTTTTTGTATTTCTGTTTTTAAAGCATTAGAATTAAATGAAAAGAGGCTACCATGACATTCTGTATTTTGGGTTGTTTAGGAACCTGTTTTATTCACTGGAACAATGAGGAAAAATCTGGATCCTTTTAATGAGCATACGGATGAGGAGCTGTGGAATGCTTTAAAAGAGGTAATTTATAAAACGTGATTAACTTGTTAACATAAATATCTGTGTACGTACATAAGTAGCACTGCAGATAATGAAGGGGAGCTTATTGGTTTAACCAACTTTCTTCACCTTCTAGGAGAGCATTGATGACATGGGTGCAGTTAAATTGTGTATGTTGAGATGATGAAAACTAGCAATATAGTGCCTCATGGGTTCATTTTAGCTTTTTTCCTAGAAACCAGAGCAACTAGTTGTATTATGTTGTCCTTAGCAGAGCACTTCACTTAGAAGTTTTAATCATGGATTCAAATTCTACCAGTGACCTAGTCAATTAATTACCCCAATTACCCTGCAGCATTCATTTTATTCCTCTGGTCTTGGGGAACATCTGCTATGATGGTCATTATTAACTGAAAGATAAATGAGGTTCATATCAATAAAATGCTGTGACGTTTCATAAGAAAGTATTTATAAAGGTAAATTATATAGTTCGAATATGCTGATAATTATTGCCAATCATGTCATTTTAATGCAGCACAGTGATTGCAGGTATCAGAACCCTGGAGCTTTTGCTCAGTTTTTAAATGGACAGGATCCTTTCTGGAGGATTTTCTGTTATTTGTGTCATGTTTCCCTCTGGACCACTTCTTTGAATTTCCTCACCCTTGCATGACAGGGATTTAGACTTTTTTTTCTTTTTTTTTTTGATGTGACGTCAGTATTTTATTACTTCCAGCCACATTCTGAGCATTCACTTGGGTGACCTGAAAGGAACAGGGGACTTAGAGGAAGGATAGTAACTGACGTTAATTTAAAAGTACAAAAATGCTTGAAGGTTGGCACTCCTGATTCTCTCTCTCTCTCTCTCTTTTTGATTTTGACTCTTAAAGTGCTGCTGGTGTATACATTTTAATACCAATTATTTTGTGTATTTGCCCTACTTCTGCAAGATGATTCTAAATTATGGCTGGCAGAAACATTATCTAGACTTCTAAACCATAGACAGGCTTGGTAATTCCTCATAGGACGTAGCTCACTCTTTTGCTTTTAAAAAGTAAGCACTTAATAAATAGGTACTGAATGTTTGATTGATCTTTTCGTTTCAGATTAGTGCAGTTTATTCCTTTAAAAAAAAAAAGAAAAGTTTTTTGGCATAAATTCTAGTGACCAGTTGCTCACGTTGCTGTTTTGAATTGGCGCGCTTTGTCATTTAGTGTCACGCTTCCAGGGACAGCTGACGTTTGTCGTTTATAGATGCGCTTTGACTGGGAGCAAGCAGATTTGGAGGCTTGACAGTTTCCTGCCAGTGATTCTGGTTTCTGAGTGCACGTCTGCACTGTGTCTTTACACACCCACCCTGCTCCCCAGCAGTGGTGGGGATTTTATTTTCCTCAGGCCTATTGCTTTGCCTTCTCTTACTTGAGTAGCAGTAGACATCTGATTTCGTTTAGGTTTGTGAGTCTTTGTACAGTGAACTTCTAGAAGAGAAGAGATGGGGAGAGCAGTTAACTATCAAATACAAAACAAGGAGGATGATCCACTGATCTTGAAACCACAGGACAAATTTAAGCCATCACCTGAGTAAACATGTGAGATATGTAAGAAGTCCTGAGGACCCCAAAACTGCAATAACTAAGAGGTTTGTCTAGGAAAATTCTTCATGTATCCACAGGTACAACTTAAAGAAGCCATTGAAGATCTCCCTGGCAAAATGGATACTGAATTAGCAGAATCAGGATCGAACTTCAGTGTTGGACAGAGACAACTGGTGTGCCTTGCCAGGGCTATTCTCAGGAAAAATCGGATACTGATTATTGATGAAGCCACAGCAAATGTGGATCCAAGGTATGGAGCTGAGGTCCCTTGTTACCTGGAATCTGAATCTTCAATGTTGTAAATAGGAATCATTTAATGATGCTGAGAAGTGTTCCTAAGGGCTCTCTTTGCCCGAAAGACATCTCTTGGAACATTAATTCCAGAAAACGAAGAAATCAAAACAATTTCCAGTTCCTGTTCGTTTCAAGCAATTTTGAGGGAAGTCTGTCTTCCGTTGTTTTATGAAAAACAGTAAATTTCTAAGGAGACTTTTTAAACTCAGTTTGCCACAAACAAGATTATGCCTTGAAGTACTGATTTTTAAAAGCATTATAAAAATATCCTATATTTTTAAGTCTTAAGTTTGCTTTCCTTGTTTTTACTGAATTCAATCATCATCTTTGATTCCAGAACTGATGAGTTAATCCAGAAGACAATCCGTGAGAAATTTGCCCAGTGCACTGTGCTAACCATCGCTCACAGGTTGAACACCATTATCGACAGTGACAGGATAATGGTAAGACTCTCCTCCCCTGTGGAATTGGAATTACAGTTGTTTCCACTTACGTTCAGTTTTTCAATGTTTCCTTCCTTGTAAACATTCATAGGAACCTCTAATCAGTGAATTTGCTCTTAATGTTTCTTCTCGTGCCTGACAGTAACTCAAGTATTTAACTGTACTTTCAGAACGGGCTGTTAAGTAATACATCCAGTAATTTCATCTTTTAATATTAAAAGTTTAATGGTTTAATTAAATGGCCTTTTTTTTTAAGATGGTCAACCATGAAAATGTTACAAATTCAACATATATCTCCATAATTCAGAGTGTCAGAACACAAGTCATTTTCCCTGCGTCATCATGGTTGTTTCAGCATTTTTGGATTCCCTTAATTGAGAAATTATCCTTTCATTTAGACTCCTCTGAGATTGCTGGGTGAGGCTGCAGAATTTCCCAGCTTTGGGGACACTCACAGTATGTGCTGTCAGGGGAAATCTATGAGAAGAAAGGTCCTAGTGAGAAAAACAAAAGTGACCTTTTATTCCTACGTTTTACCTGGCGCTTTGTTGCTCTCGTCCCTCAGCATCGTATTTTGCAAACTCCCCAAAAGCATCCTTCTTCCATAGGAAGTGAATGATGCTGTGAAGGTTACCTGTTTCAAGCCCTTTGTCAGGCTTTAGAGGCAGTGGCAGAAAGATGGCTTGATCTCCAGCTCAGTTGGGGGTCTGTTCACATAAAATCTTTGCTCCAAAATTTACCCTAGACATTTTTTTTTTTTGGTTTTTAGTATTACAACTTTGATGGTAGCAGCTTCCTTTCATTATCTAAGTCTTTGAAATACTGTCACCTTGGAACGTATGAATGTTTGCGGACACAGTGATGCAGGACAGAATTTGGCAGGTGCGCCAGTGGCTCACTCCTAAGTCTTCATCCATCAGTACTTGATCCACAGATAGGAACGTCCAGTTCCCAAGTGTCCCCTTAACCAATCACCTTTGTTGCCTTTATCAAAATGTACCCATTAGAACTTTACTTACTAATATCTCCTGGTAAATTTCTGTAACCTGAAACTTTTCTCTCTTGGTGAGTGTCTTTACAGCCCACCCCTCCTCACTTCTGATTTTCTCTCTCTCTGCTCTCTTTGCTTTATAGTAGAAGCTGTTTTGATGGCCTTTCAGTTCTCCAAATGCAGTGTTCACTCTCTTGCAGCCCTGCCCCCTCTCTCGACTGTTGGTGACTTTGAGTAGTGAGACGGTTGGGTTTGGGATAGACAGCCAAGTGCAGCCAAGCATACAGCATGATGGACTGCATGCGGGATCTGAGGGCAGAGAGAGGAGTCCACATTGGTTTCTAGGGGTGGAGCCTGAGCACCGTGGTGAGTGGGTAAGACTGAAGGGGAAGGGAAATATAAGGGTTCTCTTTGGAGCCTGTCACCTTTATGATGACCAACCCTGTTTTCTTTGGTGGACTTTGTCCTTCACCGTGGAGCTGCCCTTCCCACCCCTGTGCTGGGAGACCTTCAGTTTAGGGCTCCCTGGCAAGAGTTCATCAGTGATGTTGCAGGGAGGCCCCACCAGATGTAAGCTTGGCCTCTTATTTACATCTTGGGCCGAGGTGGCTGTGGTTGTTGACTCCTTTGGTAGAAAGGCCAGGATTAGACCTTGGGACCCAAGAGACAACTGCCCCTGAGCTTCATCCACTCCAGGTGTAAACCTTATATTTGATTCTAGAGCTTCTGATTACCAGCTGGCTTTCCGTTTGGCAAAACAACATAAGCGATGTTCTTTCTCAGACTTTAGATTTTGGAAACATTTTTTTATTGCTTGCTGTAGAAATACAGGCATACCTTGTTTTATTGCACTTTGCAGATGTGCTTTTTACAAATTGAATGTTTGTTGCCACCCTTGTCGAGCAAGTCTTTCAGCAGCATCTTTTCAACAGCATTTGCTCACTCCATGTTTCTGTCACATTTTGGTAATTCTCAGCAGTATTTCACATTTTTTCCCTATCATTGTGATCTGTGATCAGAGGTCTTTGATGTTACTCCTCCCACTTGCTGAAGGCTCAGATGATGGTTAGCAATAACTTATTTTTAAATTAAGATATGTACATTATTTTTTAGACGTGATGCTATTGCACACTTGCCGGGCTACAGTATAGTGTAAACATAACTTCTGTACACCCTGGGAAACCAGAAAATTCGTGTGACTCACTTAATTGCGGTATTTGCTTCTTTGTGGTGTTCTGAAACTAAACCCCCAAAATACACGCGGGATTCCTGTACCTGTTTCCTTTCCAGAAGGCAGGTGACTGTTCTGAAAGCTTGAAGGACATAAAGACAAGTCAATCCTTTGCAGAGCCTAAGGCCCCAGAGGGCGGGTGGCCAGCCTTGGGGAGTGGCTGGGGTGGATGCTGACAGATGCAGACGAAGGGCAGAACCCTCAGTGCCATCTCCATAACGTCGTGTAATTGCAAGCGCTTAGGGTGTAATAATTACATTTTGTTGCACTGGTGAATACTTCTGCACAGAGACGGGTATGGTTTTGTTTACTGCGAGTAAATCAAACAAAAGGCTTGTTGAGAAACAACTGTGACCTAATTAATAGCTTTGTTTATGTGTTGTCTCTCCAGAGGGATTTACCCAGTTTGGGTTCATTAAGCACCATTAATGTGTTAGGCTTAGAATTCTGTTTTACAAAGACGTTCTCTCAGTTTTAACTTTATTAAACATGATGTAGTCATAATGACAGCTAATTTAATCTTCCTTATTTGCTCCGTTGCCACAAAACAGTGGAGGAAGACAGGCGAATTAGAAATCCTCTTTCTTCTAATAATCACCACTGTCTCTACACTAACGGCTTCTCTCTGGAGTTTTTAGAATTGGCTGATTGCTTCCAACCTGTTTTCTCTTCAGCCAGTAGCACAGCTCTCCCTCCCACCCTGCACACTCCAGTTTCCCTAACACCCCGGATTCCCCCTAGTAGGGTGAGTAAAGGAAGCGTATGAAAACTGCAGTTGCTCCTAGAATAGTGTTGCCTGTGTTCAACATCTTCACTGTCGGCAGTTAGAGAATTCTTTGGAAAACAAATGATGGAGGATCAGAACCAGGGCCAAGAAACTCAGATTTCCCCTCTTCCGTCTATAGACAGTCTTATGGTTTGATATTCTTGACCTTGGCTTCCTCAACTCAAACTTCTTTCTTTCTAGTAGAATTTTCCCCAGAGATATCAAAATCAGAAACCGCTGTAATATACCCATCTAGAAAAGAATAAAAACAGCTCATACCTAACTAGCATTTTACTTCAATTCTATTTTTCACCTTCAAGGGACTTTTCTTTCATTTGTCTCCATGGCTGCAGCTAGAGTATTTCAGAAGAGGAAAGCCGCTTCCGGAACATGCTAGTACAGGTCATTCACGTTGTCAGAGAGAAAATTAACTAAGAGGGAGGTAGTTATTTCAAGACCCCAGAAAGGATTTTGAGTTAATACTTGTCGCATTGTCTAGTCACTGAGATAAATCACAGACACTCATTTTACCAATGAGGGACCCAACTTCCAGGATTGGATAAGTGTCTCTGTGTCACCTGGCAGCCAGAACAGAGGTCTGAAATTCAGATGGTCCCCTCCCCACTCTACTTGTCGCTAAGCGGGATCTCCCTTTATTGCCTGTCACCATACTGAAAACTGTTCTTGGCATCTCCTTGCTGTCTGTCATCAGGCTTTTCCTCCTATCCTGCCCCCCACCCCTCCCTGCAGACACCCCATTATCACCGACGGCATCCTCCCAGTGAAATCAGGTCCAGTTATTTTGCAGTGGGTCCACTTACTTTTCATGTCTAGGACCGCTACCTGGCATAGCTGCAGGTTCACAGGCCTGATAAACACATCTGCACTGAGTTTATGTAACTGGCTGACTCATCCGACATAATGTATTTTTTCTTGACCCCCTAGAGAGCGGCCCACAGCTCGAGGCTGGCATTCCTGGAGGGATCCTGGGGTTGAGGGATTGTTCCCACACCAACTTGTGGTTTAGTTTATAGTTTTACTTCGGTTATAGGAAGACCAGGGACATGGTGGGAGATAATTATAGGAGCCTTTTCTTATGGGTATAATAAAGGATATTAAAAGAAAATTTCAAAATTATTTTCCTGTACATAAAGAAAACTTGGGAGTTCTGTTTTGTTTATTTGTTCTGAGATGTCTAGAATCTTTGATCAAACCAGTCAATGTAAAGGCTAAGTGGGTACAAGTCTACTCCATGCCTTTTCTGAGTCTGCGTCCTAGTGCAGCTCTTGCAGCCCCGGATGTGAGCCTTGGCCGTGCTGCATCCCTGCTCCTTTCAACTCTTGATCCTCTCTGACTCCCCTTTTCTTCTTTCTCTTTTCCAGTATTTGATATAAATAGTTTCGAGCCTCCGTTATCAAGCCTGCTTTTCTCTTTGTCATTTTCCCTCTCTCTCTCTCCGTCTTGCCTGTAGTCATCACCCTGAGCCATGTGGTCTTCCAAGCCTCCATCCCTCATCCTATAATGCCTGTATCCTATTGCCTTAGCTGTTTCTTGTGCTAGGAGACACGTTCCCGCCTTGGTCTCACCCTACAGGCTTGCCAAACTCCACTACTGGGCGGTCACACAATCACGCCCTGAATTTAGTTTCTTTCGTATTTATCTTTCAGCCAGCATCCATTGTGTGCCTGCTACCTGTCGTGGTCAATGCCACAGCCCCGAGATGCAACAGTGAACAAGGGAATCCACACAACCCTGCCCTTTAAGGAGTTGCCAGGCTCGCCTTCAGCCCTGTAGGCCCATGTTGCTCCCTGTGTCTGGGATGACCTGTGCACCCACCCCGTTTCTGCATATTCCAAGGCCCAGTTCACTGTCCCCTCTCCTCCTTGAAGCTAGTTCTCACAGCCTCTGGCCAGAAGTTATCTCTTCTGGTACTAAACTCATCCTTTTGGTGCTTCTTTTCTTATATTCTAGACACTTGAGGATTTTCTTCTCTTCTTTCAGTATAGCCTCCATAAAGGGCGGGGCCTGTGACTTAACGTCTGCCTGCTTCTTCCACAGCATCTCGCAGAATGCCATCAGTGTAGCTTAATATGCAACAAATGTTTGCTGTGTAAATTTGGAAATTAATGAAAATTTACTTAAGTTTACCTTGAATGTCTGTTGGCTATGTGTTGCTTGCTCTTTATTTGTCCTAAAAGTTCAGTAAAATTGGTTTTCTTTTTCTGTGAGTACACACCAGGCAGACAGTAAATAATTTGAGCCTGACATTTTGCAGTGGGAAATAAAAAGGGGAAATATTGATGTCTACTAGCATATTTTCTTAAATTGTATACAAAGTTGATTATGCACATGGAAAGGTATTTTCAAAAGTTGAATGTTTAAATTCTCATCTCCCTCATTTCACTTCTGATAAAAATTATCTAAAAGTGTCTTTCACTGGTAACTCACAAGGGGAGGGAAGAACACAGGTTCAGACCAGGGTTGAATTCCAACTCTCCATCTGTCCACTGATTTTTCCGTCTCAGCCAGTGACTTAGCTGCATCCCAGTCGTCACCTCTGGCCCTGGGCTTCTTGATATGCTTTTGCTCATCTTTGGATGGATGGATGGATGGAAGGGAAGATGGAAGGAAAGAAGAAAGGAATGTTGGATGGGTGGATGGATGGTTGGAGGTAATTCATGTGGACTTTGTTTGTGTACTCGATTTCTAGAGTTTGTGAGGACTAGAAAGCATGTGACACTATGAATGCTCATCTCACAGCTGTTTTTATTTTCCTTTTCAAATTCAAAGGCTGCTATTTTAGTTACGGGGTCATTTCATTGATCTTACAGTAGCCATAGTCTTTGTTACATTTCATTTACATGCCAGGGCTTCCCATCTGTTCAAACCTTCTGAATCTGTCCAGTTGGGGCTGTATTAATAAAGCCGTCTGTTTTAAGATACTGTCTTTTGTTTTAATGTATTTTGAAAGGGTATTAAAGTGTTAACAGAAAAAGGTAAATAAAATGTTTCTGTTACCTTTTCAAAGTATTTAAGCATTGTAAGAAATGCTTCACAATTCTGTCACCCTGCGAAAAAAATAAAACCTGAACACTCCTCGTATAAAATACAATGCACAGCCAAATACCTGTAAGGCTCAAAATAATTTGACCAAAATGATATTTCTGCCATTTATATTGTTATCCTCATTGCTTTCTAAGAGCACTAATTGTTTTCTGGCTTTGACTTTTTAGATATTGGGCAATTCTGAGAACTCCTCACTGGCATTCGTATGTTTTAGACAATAAGAGAGAAAATGGGAAGATTTACTGTTCATTCAAATTTGAATTAAAAAAGTAGAAAGTTGGACAAGGACAAACTATTAGTAATACTTCCATTAAAAAATATATGGAGTCTTTATGGTCAGAGAACTCATTTCCACCACCTCTGAAATGGTGATTTTTAAAAGTTGTTGCTTTTGCAGAATGTAAAGTTCTTTATTGTATGAAGTAACTTGATTTACTTAGTCTTTGTCATGAGAGAGATCTATGTTTTAAAGTTGCATATCTTTCTTCTTCAACATCAGAAGAAATGGTTACGCTCTATAATGTTAGCTTAAGAAAAATTACACATTCAGGGGATCTAAATTGGCATGCCAAATTATAGGAGATTTTACTAATTATGTGGACGTGATGGATTCATTTGTTCTTGAACTCTTGAGAAAGCTGTCCTTAGCAGTGATTCACAGTAGTAAATAAAAGAAAAACAGGAGAATGGGCTTTATGAGACTTAATATTTCCGATTAAATACTGGGGGATGGAATTCCCTGCAATACCTAGATGTGGGGGAAAAAACCCCTGTGTCCCCCGTATTCTCTTAAGATGCATTTACTCTAAATATGACCTAAATGAAGAACTAAGCACCACTTAACATCAGAACTGTTTTCCTCGGTACATCATTTGGGCCAATTGTTTTAGGCTCTTTCTTCCCTCTGAAACCATTAACCAAAGCCTCTAGTAAGTAGAAAGGCAGCGTTAAGAGCCCCTACCTCTCCCTTTCAGTTACCAATTAGTGGACATATTAATGCACAATAAATGGGCTGAAAAGGCAGGCAGCTGAAGGAAAAGGGAAAAAGAAGCAACGAAGGATAATTTGTGAAAACAGAGTTTCACATCCTAGGCATTCAGATTGGGGCGCCCCGTGTGCTGTGCAGGCTGCGATCACTGGAATTTGGAGCTCGGTTTCTTAATTGCCTCTTTAGTCTTATCCAGAGAGAAAATTGGATTTCTGGAGATTTCTTCTGTGCAGAGCAATTCTGCTAAAGCTGCTTGGGTAGCAGCTCCTTTTGCCAGACTTTCACTCTCAGAAAAATACCCTCCAACAAAAGCCAACTTCAAAAATCACCTTAACCTCTCCGACAAGGGATTCTGTCTGCCCTTCGCAGCTGACATATTCCAGGACCCTAAAAATTCCAGAAGCATTTGCTTTTTCTTCTCTAAATGTTGCTCAGATTGTGTCAGACTAATTCAGCAATTAATTTGCTGTCAGGTCATTGCCATCTGATTTGTATGACACCACCCTACTTTTTAGGGAAATTGAGTTTGATTTTCTTGAACTGAGAAATTTCCCAACTCTGAATGTCTGCATTAATAGCCCTCAAAGCTCAGAGTCTGAGAGCTCAAAGCCCTAAGGTTAAGAACCCCGAATGCCCTTGGCAGAATATAATATAATGCCAGACTGCTGAGTGCCAGTAATCATAGCCTAAAACTTTCATTTTCTTCCTTTCCTATAACATTATAATAATAAAAGGTCGGGTTAGGCCTTTGTCTCCCCAGTAGAACAGGGTAATCACACCATTTAAACACCAGCCAGGCTTCCCACCCAAACAGACTCTTATTCTTCCCGTCCTGGCCCTTTCCGTAGTATTGTCTGAGTTATGATATGTTCCTGCAAAACATTGTGTGCTAATGGGTTTCTTTCTGCTGATTAACAGGTTTTGGATTCAGGGAGACTGAAGGAATATGATGAGCCATATATTTTGCTGCAAAATAGAGACGGGCTGTTCTACAAGATGGTGCAACAACTGGGCAAGGCCGAGGCCGCTGCCCTCACTGAAACAGCAAAACAGGTGAGTCCGCGCAGGGAGTTGTAATTAAAGTTCGTCTCCAAGATTCGCTCGTCACGATCTGGCACCAGGGGTCCGGTAACAAGCACTCTGTGCCCTTTTCAATTATAAGCCTCCAGAGACAAAGCTTCGTGACTGGGTCTTAACACGTTGCAGCTGGAGGGTGGGTCTGCTGAGAGTCTGCAGAAGTGGGGGTGGGGTGGGGGGGACGCAGGCCATTTGCACGCTTGCGTGCCTGCGAGACAGATTTCGGATTGGACTTGTCACACGCTTGGGCTCTGGGTTCAGAGTCTCAGAGCACAGAATATTCTCATTTTTCGATCCTTTTTGTTTGATCCTCATTGGTGCTCAGCACATTTGTGATGCAAATGCTTTCTAGGAACATCCTGGAAATGTTTAGAGTCTGAGAAAAAGAATATGGGATGTAATTAATTGTGCCTAGAAAGATCTGCGAGGGAAAGGTGTAGGTCACTTCTGTTTCCTCATTTGTCAAGAGAACTCCTTTATGATACTGTCACTTTCTCCCTACTTCTTTATTCTTTAGAATTAGGTCCATGTGTCCCTCTGTGCTTTCTCTACTTTCTAGAAGATGAAGTTGTCATCAGGACAAATCAGGAATTCCCAGTACCTTAACAGTGTAGTCTGAATGGTGCTTGAAGGTTCACGAAGCATTTGCACAGAGAGGAGGTGTGGGGAAGCACTGAGCACTGGGTATGGCGTGAAGAAGGTGCTGGAGGAACAGCATTCAGGTCACGTGGTATCATTCCCACAACAGTGAGGTGGTGATACCTCGTTCTACAGGTGTGAAAACTGAGATCTGGTTTAAGGGACTTGGCCACTGTCGTGCCGCCATGTGTAATTCTTTCTAAAATAAGGTGGGAGTGGGTTTGATGGAAGGAGGGAGGGAGAGAAGGAAGGTCTGGTATTCTTGGCACTTGAGATGCGTGGCTTGGGCTGGGATGAGGCTTCCCATCAAAACTTTGTCTCTGGACATTAAATTATAAGTGCATTTTTCCTTCTTCATGCTTTTCTGCATTTCCCAGATCCTCACTTGTAAGTTGAATAAAATTTCTTATGTAATATTTAAAATATGCCTTGAAGAAGACATGTTCCAGTATCTGAATGCTTCTCTTTCTATGAGAGATTTGTCTAGAATGTACCTAAGTTCCCTCCATCACTGTTTCATCTCATTCCTCCCCATTAGAAATGAAGAGCTGACCCTTCCACTCTTCATAGGGTGGGGAGTTGCCCAGGGTCACAGAGTTGGCTGAAGAGCCAGCAGAGTTGGAGTTGAAATAGGTTTAGGGACAATGAAGACTGTTCTGAACTTTTCATAAGTTCTTTCTTTCATGCAAATGTACAGAAGCTGCACTTGGAGCCCTATATTTTTTAAGCCTGAAATTCAGAGTGGTTTCACCTACTAGAGTGTCTCCCAGTTAGAGCTTCACTCCTAAGACCCCATCATTTATCTGGGATTCCCTGTGTAACCTAGTTACAAATAGCCAGGACTCTAACAGAATCCTTTTTTCTTTGACCTTTGGCATTTCCCATCAAAGGCATGTGTCCTCACCTGTGAATCAAAGTCTCTGTTTAAGAAATGTGTTATCATTATATATCATCAAACATTGAGCAGTGAGAAACTGATCATAGAATTCTAAATTGGTCCAGGTAGATTACAATGATAGCATTCAGCACCCTCATTTTACAGGTGAGGAAACTGGGCTCCTTGGAAGGAATGTGACCCCATATATATATCCAGTGCTAGTTAGATAGTTTGCAGGAGACACAAAATCAGAAATCTGCTCTTCCAGTAAATGTTTTAAATCATGGATAACACACATACAAAACAGGCGTAGGTCACAGAATGAGAAATCTTGTGATTCCTGGCCTAATAATCTTGCACCTGATTTAACAATGTCAATGCTAAGTTGCCTTGTGTAGGTCTTTGTGATTTATGCTTTATAGTTCTCACATGTGTGATTTCACTTACTTCTCATGGTGGTCCTTTTTTATTACACCTCCTGGATGAGGAGATTGGGTTAAGGGATTACCCAAGGTCACAGAGCTGGTCCAGGGAGCACAGAGGCGGATTGCACAGGGAGGCTGAGTGCCCCATTAGGTAATGAATTGTGTGTCGAGTCTGAGAACTGCTCCTTGTGTGTGGCAGCCGGGCAGGGCCTACTTTTCCAAGTTCACAGGGTGGCTGAACATCACTCTTGGATTTCTGTCTTACCTCTGGCTCAGGTCACCTCTACGGAAAAAGACATAAGGAAATACATAATCCTGATTCTCATCCCTGCTGAAATATCTTCTTGATGTTATTTCTGCATGTACTCAGTCCTCTTAAGAGAACAAGCTGTCAGAGTGTCAACTTTTCAAATCTGTGAGCATCAGATATCAGTGCGTCATTAAGAACTGTGACACCGGGAGGATTAGCCTAAGTCAACGAGCTTTTTATTCCAGTGGGTTAGAATTCATGCATTTGAAAAGAAAAGTCAACACCTGGGGAAAGTCACGATTTCTTGACAGTGTAGTTCCCTTTCTGTAAATGTTAGTGCAGGCGAGATGAATCACTGTTTGATGGACCCTTTTACATGATCCGTGAAAATAGTCGAGAAAGTGCTTTTTAGATGCATAAAGCTGAAGGGTGCGTTCGTTTGCTAGGGCTGCCATACAGAATGTCACAGATGAGGCGGCTTCAACAACAGGAATTTGTTTCATCGCCGCCTTGGAAGCTGGAAGCCTGAGGTTAGGGTGTTGGTGGGGTTGGTTTCCTCTCAGGCCTGTCTCCTTGGCTTATGGATCCTGTCTTCTCTCTGCCTCTTGACCTGGTCTTCCCTGTGTGTGCCGGTGCGCTAATCTCCTGTACTGACACTGGTCCTGTTGGATTAGGGCCCACCCATATCACTTTGTTTGAACTTAGCTGCCTCTTTAAAGACCCTATCTCCAAATACACTCACATTCTGAGGCACTGGGGAGTTTTAAGCTCCAACATACACAATTTGAGGGGATATATTTCATCCCATAATGAAGGATTCATGTCTGTCATTCATTGTCTTCTGTGATGAAGCAGATCTGATTGAGGCTTTTGGAAGTTTGTTCGCAGTGTGTAACAGTGATGTCATTTTATCTGTTTCTGAAATCAACCAGATACAACCCAAAAGTTATTGGACCCCAATATCCTAGAACTAGGAGCCTGGGCCAAGTAGGACCTGTGGAAGGGGTACCCAGCAGCTTTGTGGCCTTACATCACCCAAGGTCTCTGAGCCTCAGGGTCCTCACCTGTATGTGGTGCAGGGATCACAGCCCTGCACCGCATCTTCACCTGACCTACGTCTTCACGCTGTTATTACAGGGAGCAGATGAGAGAGCATTTGATTAAGTGCTTTGAAGAACAGAGCATTTTTTAGTATAAAAGTTGGATCCTTTTTTAAAACGGCTATAGCTTGAACCCTTATCTCCCAATAATAACCAGGTGTCCCCTCAATTCTTCTAAGAAGCTCTAGAGATTCTAAGTAATTAAAATGCATTTTTAATCATCAGTTTTTAAACAAATGATACATCTAACTCTACAAAATCCTAAACCTTTTCTTTTTAAAATAGGTTTTAAAATTTTATAAACAAGAAGTCAGTCACTCTTGCCGCTCCTGCGGTCACTCCTTCCCCAGGGTGGAGCCCGGCTCCATCTCTGACTGTTCTGTTATGTTCTGCGCATCAGTAAGAACCTGTGCATAGGTGGCCTTCCTGTTTTTAAGCACAAATGATAGTTGTTCTTGCTGTTTTCAGTTGATATTATATCTCAGATTATATCACTGTGTATAATTACCTCATTCTTCTTAATGGCTATATAGTACTTTTGCTTTCTCCATATCCTCCTTTCTGCTAATCCTCATTTTCCTTCCAATTAATTCTTACAGCTTTATGTTTTTTTCCTCCCAAAGGAGGAGCTCTCAATTTCACTTACTGCTTGTGTTCTCTTTTATCTTTCTGCTTTTATCTTTATTAATGCCTTCTTTTCATTTATTTTATTGTTGCTTCTTCTTGAATGCATTTGTTTTTATTCTTTTCTTGTTTATTTATGAATACTTTAAGGCTGTGAACTTTGAATACTGTTCGAGCTGTACCCTATAGGTCCTGGTGTGTGGCTTTCATCATACTTACTGCTTTTATTTCTAGATTCTGCAATTTTGGTTTTCAGTTCCTAGTTCCTCTTTAGTCCAAGAATTATTTGAGACCAAGATCTTTAAAACTTCCTGGGGGTGGGATTTTTTTTTTAATGTTCATTTGTTTTCTATTACTTTTTGGTGTGGACTTTATTATCTTGTGATCAAAAAATAGTGTCTGTACTCTTTCCACCAAGAAACAGTATTTGTCAATTTTTTGT